AGGTGAGAAAATTAAAACATACAAATATATACTAACAGTCTTTAAGCGTCAGTATAGGTAAAAAAAATTAAAGTCTATACTAATGGGCATTAACCGTCGGTATAGGTAAGAAAAATTAAAATATATAAGTCTATACTGATAGGTGTTAACTGTCAGTAAAAGGTATAATGATGGAATATACAACAAATGCTATACCAATAAATACATGTTTACTGATGGTCTTGAACCATAGGTATATCTCTGTGAGCTATTCCGACACCTTAAAAATCGTCAGTATTGGTCTATATCGACAATGGATATATTGATAGTTAAAAATTCGTTGGAATACATATTTTAACTATTGATATAGGGTTTATTGTGCTATACTCACAGATTTTTTAAGTTTTATCAATGGCTTTTTTAGCACCACTATATGTCAAATTTGTTATAGTGTGTGTTAATATTGTGAGTAAACAAAATACCTATAAGCTATCTTAGATAAATTTCACATAATTATTATATCTCACATATATATAGTAAAATGCAACAAATATATATCATAACAAGTAGATAGGCATAAAATAGTTAAAGATTCATTATTTAATTGTATTGTTTATAATTTAATAACTATTAAGTTTAATTTATTCATTTTGTCTTACATTTATAATGCTAAAGTTACTAACTTTTATTTATGTTATCTTTTTTAATCAATATATTATATATTCTTTAATATATATATATATATATTCATTATTAAAATATATATATTCATTAATCTAATAAATATTTATTCATTATGTTATACGTTTCTTCATTAATAAATATGGTTTATTACCATATTAAATTTATGCAAAGACATGAATTGCTATTTTCTTTTCGATAAATTATAATTGAATACTACAATGCCATTATTAACTTGTAAAATTATTGAAATTCTAAATTTTTAGTAAAATATAAAACAAAATTAATGACAAATAACAACATGAAAATAGATCAAAAAATATATATAGAGAAATCTTAAAGGAAAATCACAAGTTCTTAAACCAAAAGCTCCAATACCATATGTTAGATTTTCTTTTATTATGCAAATTGAATCTTAATTTTGCATAATCTTAATGCCTAAGATTTTAAAATAAGATGATTTTCAAAATTTCTTAATTAATGCGAAATCATACATTGATCCATTATAAATTTTATATAAGTTATGCTATGAAGTTTTGTTTCTCTCTCTTAACCTCTTTTATCTTCACGCACTTTCTCGATGGATAGAAAGCATCAATATATATAGGTAGAGAAATGAGCAATTTTTTCTTTCATTCGTTAATGTTATTCAGTTCATACCTTTCATCAAAGTTTGAATTATAAACAAAATTTTCTTTTGTTTTAATTACACTCATTTATTGTTTCATAAATAAAACAAAACTTCCTTTGTCTTTATTGATAAAAAAGATCTTAAATATAATAATTATTAAACCATTAATATCTTTTAAATAAAATTAAAAGATATTTTCTTAAAGGTAGATAACTACACATAGGCCATATAATATCCAACAAACCTTTTAATTAAACACAACACACTTTTTTCTCTCATCATCAAATCCATAAATACTGTGTATATCACCATCTTTTACCATATTATCCCTAAACTCCTCTTAATCATTACTTTCAAGCAATGGATTTAGACTAGGTTCTCGTTTATTAGCCTTTTCCTTTCCCCTTCCTTAGAACCACTAATAGTTTATTCATCCTAAAACATATCATAAGATTTTGAAAACCCTTCATTGAACCAACTAAAGTCACTACTAGAATAATTATCATTGTCTGCCTGATAATCACCATCATCGTTATCACAATCTCTTTTAATGTCATCTTTTTCATCTACAGTAACATCTTCAATAACATTTTCATCTACATTTCTAGCTTCATCTATATTTCCATCCACATTAACAATACCTATAACAATGTTTTGACTAGGTTGACTCTTTTCTACCTTTTATTCATCACACCTTATGTACACAGATAAAAAATAAATAAATGAGGATCATTTGCTATAGTATATAGAAGGATTGTTCCTTTGTCCTGATGACTATGAATCATATCTTTAGCATGTCTATTTAAACAAATTAATTCTAATCCATCATCAAATGATAGCTTAGGAATACAATAATACATTTCACTAATGGACTCATAGCTTAATTTTGTAATCCAATCTTGCAATTCAAAAAATGATAATCAATCTAAGGGATAATCATCAATCCATGCAACATACCCCAAATCCAAACCTTTTGAAGAATAAGGACAAATGACCTACTATGATAAAATTCAAGTATTTATTCTCATTGCACATATGTAAAAAAAGAAAAATTCCTATTTTAATCTAATTTGAAGTCATTCAACATGCTTTGTGTTCATATATGACCAAACTTGACAACTTTAACTCATGTATAAAAGCTCTACACCATGTCTGTAATTTAGTTATTCAAAATAAATGAACCCTAAATTTTTAAAATTTAATAAATCCTAAATAGAAATTTTCAATCGATCTTAATAAAAAAAAATTGAAAATCACACATATCTTGTTAGATTGTGAAAGTTTGCTCAATACATAGAAATTGTGCCTAACTTTTTTGTCGAAGCGTGCCTAAAATTGCTTCAACTAGTGCCACTTCAACCAATTTCAATTAAATTTTGCCCAAATCTTCACATTAAAAAACTCCTTCAAATCAGAATTGAAAGCTTTTTTGGTTTGATTCTTGAATGAAAAAAGCATAGATCGCTTATTGTATTTAACAAGTTTTGGTTCTTGTTTCCTAATCTTTCAAATACTTTATCGATAAGTCATGGATTCTGTAGCAATAAGGTTATTTTTATCATTTTACCACAAACTCCTTCAAATCATAATTGAAAGGTTTTTTGGTTTGATTCTTGAATGAAAAAAGCATAGATCACTTTCAAATGAAATGGTTTGATTGTATTTAACAAGTTTTGGTTCCTGATTCCTAACCTTTTAAATGCTTCAATGATAAATCATGGTTTTTGTAGCAATAAGGTTATTTTTATCATTTTATTCCAAACGATGTTCAAGGAATAGTAGTAGAATGACATAGAATAACATCTTAGGTGGTTATTTGTAACATTTTAAATTTTGAAGGACAAACTTGAAGCATTTTAAGCCACAAGGTATATATATATATATGTTACCCTAAACTAAATATAGACCAACAAGTAAGAGATTTTCATAATAAAAGAATAATTAAGAACATTTTTGTTCTTTTAATTAAGAAGTTGCTTGGTCGAATGATGTTCCCTTCGTATTTCTTTTGTTTTGGGCAAGAGATCATCTTTGTCTGGCAAAAAGCCAAATATAACTTGTTTAATTTTCGATTATTCAACGTTCCTATTGAATATATTTAACCAAATTTAAATAATTAAGGCATCTAAAATTAATACTAAGTACTAAAATGAAGTTAAACCGCCATTATACCAATTCTTTTTTACCAATGTCTAGATGTTAAAATCAGACCTCCAAAACCAATTGTCCTAATTAAATAACATAATTTTGAATTTTCTATAGAAGAATGAATAAAATAAGCCAATTAATTAATTAATTAATTAATTAATTAATCTTCTTAAGTTATTTTTGATAAATAATATCTATTACTATTAGTTAAAATAATTTTTTAACTAATAGTAGTAGATTTTTTTAATTAATTAATCTTCTTAAGTTATTTTTTTCTTTTTATTAAATTTTTTTTATAGTTTGGTCAATTCAATATAATAAATAAAGCATTTTCATAATTGAGTAATTAGGTAAAATAAATAATTATATAAATAATAAAGTAAATAAATATTATTAATTTTTAATTTAATATGAGTACAAATAAATTTAATTTAGTGATCATTAAAGATATTAAACATAAAAATTATTACATTCAAATTTTAAAAGATTTATTTTATCCAAATGTAATTTAATTTCTACAATCGTCATTTACTTTCTCATTATAATTTATTTAATCGTCATCGTTATTTTTATATTTAAATACATATGTTATTACTAATTTTAATCTTACTATTAAATTAATCAATATCATGATTACAATAATTAATCTTACCTTATCATTATTTTTAATTTTATCAAAAATAATTTCACTATCCATATAAATATACTTTGATCTTATTTATTTTTTTGTATTAAGAATATATAAATACAATTAAATTAAAATTTTTATATTATATTCAAAACAATAAAAATGCAAAAACTATTTATCAATACAAAATAAAATTATTCTATACTTTTGATTTTAATAATTCATTCTATTTTATTGGTAGGATAATCGAAAAGGGGTATATCTTTTTTTATTTACATAAATATTTTATCATGTCTTACATTAAAAAATATTATATTAATACATAACTAGATTTGGACACATTAATTTCGTGAGTGAAAGAAAAATAATATTTTGAAAAAAAATTGTTTTTAAAAAACAATAATAAGTAAAAAAAAGGATGAGTAGTTTCTTTAACTAAATAGACATAAATTGTATTATAATTAGAAATTTAATGCCAATCTTATAACAAGTCAAATCACTGATTTGATAATAATTAAAATGGGTTATTAGAAATCCAAAATTACTCAATCCGTTAAAATATAAACTTAAAAATAATTTCAATCCAAAATAGTATAAAATTAAAATAATTTGAATCCGAAGTAATTACGTTGCGCTTGCTACTGGTAGTATTACTCCACTACCCCTCCCATGAGATATTTTATCAAAAAAACAAAATACGGTCACTTTCTACTTTATGTATATAAAAAAAAAAAAAGTCCCTTTCTCAAAAAAAATACAACAACAATCCTCTTCAAAGTTCACATCCATTCAAAAAACAAAAAAAAAATCCATAATTCTGCTTGTCTAATTTATATCAAGAAGAAAGAAAAGAAAATTTAAAAAATAATAAAAATATTAATCAGTGCCATTAGATGTTTTTTTAAAAATTTACGCTGATTGTATTATTTTTTATTAAATTTTATGAAAATAATATATTAAATAAAACTTTTCTAAAATAATATTTTAACTAACGTTAATCAGGATCCCTCTTCGATAGGAAAACGAGCAAACACATTACAGTTGCTTTTGTTGTAATCAAATTCCCAGTTTTTTTCCATGGTGGTCTCCACTTCTCTTCTACCCATCATCTCCTTTAGTCCAATCTCCTCAGCTTCATCATCATCGTTGTTATTTTTGGGTCTTACTTCTGTAAAAACCCATCATCAAGTTAGCTTAATTATGAGTCAACAGAGATCATTTAGACGGTTGGTTATCAACTGTTCAGCTTCTTCTGATATGTGTTTCTCCCCAGACCCCATGAGCTTGAGGTATGTTTCTGCGTTAGCTTGGTTTTATTTCCTTTTTGGTTATGTCTTTTTAATGTTCGTGAAAATGTCTGTGACGTTGTGACAGTTTGTCTTGGGCTTTGAATTTTGGTGTTCAGTGCGGGTTTTGTAGTGGTATTGTTAGAATTTGATCAACTGTTCGATTATTATGTTTGTAATTCTGTTATTGTTTTGATAACAAGTGGGCATGAGCTATGAGGGTGGAAATTCCTAAACCTTGCACTTCTTTATTAGATATCAATAGACACTAGAAAGTGGATACTATTTCATGCACGGTGAAAATGGATTTGCTCTTTAGACAATATCTGTCATTTTTGTTCAAATCCTTTTTCAGTGGCAGAGTTTCTATAAAAATTGAAGTTACTATCACTCATTTAAAAGTAATATGGAATTATAGTTGCAAGGGAAACTAACATTTACGGTGAACTTTAATTCTACACAAGATGAGTCGATTGTCTTTTTTATTTGGAATCCTCATAATCAAATTATTTTCTTGGACACAATAAAATCTTAATTGGAGTCATGTTATATCAGTTGGACGCCCAAAACAATCCCTTTTGTACGTCAAACACATTCAATCTATTATTCTGTCGTACATCTCTTTGTGCTCATATCAGCAGTGAAAAGCATGTGAGAGATTTGGAATTTAACTTGGTGAATAGTTCTCACACTTTAGCTATATGATTTGGTGCTTTCACGTGCATAAGATATCCATTTAGGAACCTCCTTCATATTGAATACTTGAGACAGTTCTTTCCTCCTTAGGTGATTCTTTGGTTAATGAATCAAAATTATTAAATCCTCCTCTTTTTTTTTTTTTTAGTATATTGATGATGCTATGATAATCTTTCATGCTTGAGAGTTCAATTTCTCATTGCTAGTTACTGAATTGAAATTCTTGATTCATGCATGTGGCTGTGGTTTTATCGATGGTATAGGATATTCTTTCAATTTCTTTAACCACCTGCTCAAGTTTGTTGAGCAAGTACTTGAACATCTCTGCAACCCTCCCCCATCGCTTTATTTTTCTCATAATTTTTAAAATACTTGGTTATCTTGTTTTAACAGGCATAACCACATGTCATCTATGACTCCCTTTGGAATGCAAATGAACGACAAACCTTCTTATAAATGGCGACGGGTTTTGCTTAAAGTAAGTGGAGAAGCACTTGCAGGAGATCGCTCTCAAAACATTGACCCAAAGGTAGTGATGTGAATAATTTTTTTTTTTTTTACTTTCTGTATTTTATAATTGAAGTATGAAGTCTACTTGAATACAGATTACAATGGCTATTGCAAGGGAGGTTGCATCAGTGACTCGCCTGGGCATTGAGGCTAGTCTGAAGCCCCTTCTTCTATTTTTATGTTTCGTGGCTTTATTTTCTCCTTTATTCCTCTTTAAATTTGGTTGTTGTCGCTTAATTTTTTCCTTTTCTTGGTTTTAGCAGTATTGTTGTAATATCATGTTTAATTGTGGATTAGTTGTCAATTTTGTATTGCAATCCTGGGACTATTACATTTGGTGGGGGACCATGCATTGCAACTTGGAGATTGCTAAGGAAGATATCTGCTTTATTTGGGTGGGATTCAGAAAGAAATTTTAGTAGGATAAACAATTCATACTAACAATGAAAATGGCATCAATCTTGCTTGTGAATTAAGTTGAGTGTTCTGAAAATTACATGAAGTTGCAACTTGCACCATAAATGCTTTCATATGAAATTATTAAAAAAAATTATAGGAGGTTGCTTAGCAAGAATGAGTGGCCGGTTGTCAGAACGAGCTTGCTAACTGCAGAGATTAGAAACTCCACTGTTTGATTTCATTTTATATGTCGAAATCATTTTAGGTACTTGTCACAGGTTGCAATTGTCGTCGGTGGGGGTAATATTTTCCGTGGATCATCTTGGGCAGGATCTAGCGGGCTTGACCGTTCATCTGCCGATTACATTGGGTAAATATTTTATTTGATTTGATTAATTTTTATGTGTTTCAGAAGTCTTTCTGGTTTTGCACAGAAATTGTATTTCCTTAAAAGACCAGTTATAGTTGTTGCAGAAAGTTATTAGATCTGAGCCACTTTACGGAAATCTTATCTCTTTCTTATTTGTATTGTTGATTCCTTTTTTTTTTCTTGCTAGAATGTTAGCAACTGTAATGAATGCCCTATTTCTTCAAGCAACAATGGAGAGTATTGGCATCCCAACACGTGTCCAGACTGCATTTCGTATGTCAGAGGTTGCAGAGCCATATATACGTAGAAGGGCTGTGAGGCATTTGGAGAAAGGAAGGGTAGTCATTTTTGCAGCTGGAACTGGTAATCCTTTCTTCACCACAGATACTGCTGCAGCCCTTCGTTGTGCAGAAAGTAAGTCATTTTTTCTTCCATCAGAATGCATACTGACATATTAGGAAATATAGTGTTGGGACTTGGAAGAAAATATAACTGGGCCATTGTCACTTTTTAAGCTTACTTTATATGCTATGTCACTTGGCATATTTCTAAGATTTTGAAGACACTCTGAATCCTGCACAAATTGCCCTCATTATGTAAATTTTGTTGAAATAAATCTTTACTGATTTAAATTGAAATCTTTTTAAAATATTCTGTTGGCAATAAATGTTCTCGCCAAGATACTGCTATTGTATGAATTAAAATTAGATGTTCTATTTGTTGGCCCAGTCAATGCAGAGGTTGTGCTGAAAGCCACAAATGTTGATGGGGTTTATGATGATGATCCTAGGCGTAATCCAAATGCCCAGCTTCATGATACACTAACATATCATGAGGTGACTTCGAAAGATATCTCGGTGATGGACATGACTGCCATTACTCTGTGCCAAGAAAATAACATTCCTGGTATGTTTAAACTTTTGCAATCTGTATCATAACTAGCTTGACTTATAAGTGGCTGTATTTGGAATTTGTAAGTTGGCCCAAATACAACAACCAAAGGGAATAACCATTAATTTATCTATATGTCTTTCCTCCAATGCAGTTGTTGTCTTCAATTTAACCAAATCAGGTAACATCTCAAAAGCAATAAAGGGAGAGAGAGTTGGTACATTGATTGGAGGAACATGGAATTCAACGGTGGCAAGGACATAAAGTAGATACTTGTAGCAGTTGCCTATCAGTGTAGTGGCTTCTCCTACTTTGGTTTTCCCTTTCAGAAAAATGAAAGTATTTGATGGTTATTCATTGCTCAAGCATAATGAGAGCTTTTGCAGAGGAAGTTTCCTGGAGCTCAGATTTAAAAAACCAAAGATGAAAACATGAAGCGTGAAATCCAACACACTCTTTTGACAGATTAAGATAATTATTATTGCTTATTTTTGTACATAAATAGGTGGAATGTTGTTGCTTTGTTTGAAAATTGTGGCAATCTCAATTAAACAAGTAATTCTTCAATGAACTATGATATGTTAAATATTAATGTTTAATTTTAGTGTTAAGCAGTTGTCGGGACAGAAGGGAGAAACTAATATATTTTTGCTTGTTATTTTTTTGCTTATATCATCAATACAATTACCAGTGCAAGAGATTCAAGGATTAAAGATGACAAATTGTAGCTCATTGGTGCCCAAGTTGCTGATCAACTCAAGGTGATTTCACTATGTTAACTGCTTTGGCTAAACATTCAAACCATGAAAAGCTGGCTGTATTGTACTCTGATTTTTGTTCTCAATTTGATCTGCAGGTTTTCCAATGAATGCTGATGCAAAGGTATAATTTTTATAAATCTTTACTATTTCTTAACATAGTCATTTACTCAACAGCAGACATTTCTGGTCCCTTTTAATAGAAAGAAAAAAAAAAAAGAGGCCATTTCCCTTTGTTTTCTTAAGGTCCGTTGCACGCCATTCCCATTTATATTTATGTCACAAAAAGTGTTTAGTCATGTTAGGCTTTTGTGGAAAAATGGAAGAAACCTCCAACGTGAGAACTGAGAACTGGACCACCAGATTGTACTGTAAGTGATGGACCAAAGTTAGAGAGACTTTTCAGATTTTGGTGACTAAGATTGAGCTCTGTCGATTGCCATTGGTAAATAGCTGAATGAAAACCTAAAATTTTGAACCCGTAAATTTTTTGAAATTTCAAGTTCTAAGCAACACGGTATTTTTTTTTTTTATAATAGTTTCTATTGTGGTGGCATCGGAAGAAACATGGGAATAAGAGAAAAAGTAAACAGTGTTAGAATTTAACTTTCATTAGATATTATTTTTAAAAATTATTACATAAATTAATTAAATTAAAATTTAAACTCTTATCCCTCCTAAGTTTATCTATGCTCGGGATCTGGAGATTTTTTTTTTCTTTTCAAATATCATCAACTGCTTCATTATTTTCTTCACAAGTGTATGGATCAGCACTATTAGCGAAGGGAAAGATGGAAATCCCCATCCGTGACTTTATTAAAGAGGCTTGCACCTTTTCAACTATGAAACACAGAAACAGCTGTATCTAATGTTACATACAGTTTCCTGATTCAACCAAAAACAAGTTGGCTTTCCCCCAAAAATAGGTTTAGGGAGGACGGGAAACCAAAAGCAAGTAATGGGTGTATATGGATAGAGATTTCTAGTTTTTCTTTTTACACACACACAAAGAAAAGAAAAAGGCTACTGTTAATTTGAATTGGAGTCCAAATTAAATTTCTTTATTTCTATTTTCTCCAACAAATGAAAAAAAAAATTGTTCTTCCTCTTTTTGGATAAATTTTCTCTTTTTGTTTTTGCTTGTTTTGGATAATCGTTCAATCATTCAATCCTTCTACTAAAGATGTTCCATTAAATATAAATAAATCCTCATGAAGGCAGAGTGGCCCAAAATTCTGAGCTTTATGTCCTAGCAGAAGTTTTTGAAGTCTCAATTATTTGAACTCCCACTTCTCTCAGTTCAATAAGAGCATCACTTCTTAAAATTTAACAAAAAGCCCGAATAAAATAAACCAAAAAATAAACTAAATTTTAGATTTGATAATTTTGAACATTGTTCATGATATAAATTAGATGTGAAAAAATATATATAAATAATATAATTTAAAATTTTAATAAAAATTATGTATATTTTATAAAAATTAAAAAATATATTTAATATTTAATGTATCAATATAAATTATGATATAATAATTTTAATTTTTATATATATTTAATAAAAAAACTACCACAATGTAAATACCCAAATTAACATATCTAACTCCAAATTCTATTTACAGAATAACTACATGGAATGACATATCCAAAAAAATCACTATTTCCATTCTCCATCAAATTACCAAATTTTACGATTAAAATCCAAATAGCAACTAAAGTAAAATTACAAACTCCTAAATTTTTTACACAAAATCTCTTACAACAAAATTTCCACCCTGCCCTAATTTTTCTAACTCCACCTCTCTTTATTAAAAAAAAATAAAATGGTGCACTAGTTTACATTATTACAATTGAAGAAGCCCCTAAATCTAACAATACAATATCAAATTTATAAACCCAAAATTTGTTATGGATATTAAAAAAAGTTTTGGCTAAAGGTTCCAAATCTGAGCAAAAAAATCAGAAGAAAGAGTTGGAGAAGAAATTAAAGGCCCAGAAAGCAATGCAGAAGGGCTTGCCATGAACCCACTTCCATGTAAAATCGGGCTCCAGTCATGCAAAGCCCACATCATTCTAGCCTCCGACGCCGGCGAAAAGGACGTCCCCGTAGCTACAGCCGGTAACGTCTCCGGCGCAGGCGAAAGTATCCCTGGCGCCATCCGAATCAAAACTTCTTCCGCCCCAGCTTCCTCCATAACCCCCACGTCCCCTATTTTCTCTCTCGGGCTTGGGCTCGCCTTTTCCATTGCTGCCAACCTTGCTGCTGGCGATATGTCGCCGTCACCAGAGAAGTTTCCCGAGGAAAGTCCCGTGTAGCGTTGGACGATTGACATGAAGTCGGATTCTTGGGCGTGGATGACTTTGGGTGAGACAGCATAGATGATTACCGGCTCGCGACGGTGTTGATCTGCTGCTGCAGGGACGGCCTCGGCCGCGGCGAGGTGTGGTGGGTGAGGCGGTTTTTTGATTTTATGGGAGACTTTGCTGACTTTTAGTGGGGTTGGGCGTGGACCTTGGATTTGTACCTGACGCTTTGGGGTTGTCCCGCCGCTGGGAAATTGAGAGTCCATGATTGATGATGGTGATGATGGTGATGATGATGACGATGATGAGATGTAACAAAGGGCTTTTAGAGGACGGAGAGGAGCAATTTTTTTTTCTTGGTTAATGATGAAATGAATCACTTTGAGCAGTTTCAGGCAAATAAATTATTTGACTTTGAAAAACACTGAGAAAACAGAAGTCAATGCTAACATTGTTGCTTATTTTTGCAAAATTATTACTAATGTTTCTTCAGTAAAAACTACAACTATAATTTCATCTCTATTCACCCATCTGAAGAAACCTTTTTTTTTTCATGAAAAATTTTAAAATCATTTTTTTTGGAAAATTAGAAATTTAATTCATAATTTATATATTTTTTAATTAAAATATAACGTTAATCTAGTTCTTCTTAATTTGATGAAAATTAAGCTAAAATCTAAATTAATTATACAATAAAATATAATACTCCCAAGATAAATTTATTATTTTCTTTTTTCAATACTATTACTCTTAATTTATTTTCTACTTTCGTCTATTTTTTTCACCTTTTATTTTTTTTCGGATGTTTTAAAATTATTTTTTTAACGTCTTATGTTCTTATTTATTTATTTATTTCCTTTTCTCTCCTCCTTTCTTTTTCTTATCGTCTCACCATATCCTATCCTTGGCTAATGGCCAATTCCAATTATTATTCGATTAGGTTTAACAACTAGAAATCCTATTTAGTGTCGGAATGTTCTCTAAAAAGGTCAAAAATTACCCGATCAAGTCCAAACATAAAATGGACCCTCACCATTAGGTAGGGGAGAAAGGAAAGAAAGAAAAAAAATTATTTTTATTTTTTAAAAAGTAAAATTTTATTTTTAATTTTTTATATATTTAAGAATTATGACACATGACAACTACACTTCACATATGTTATATGTAAGCAAAATGAAATAATTTTTATGAATACCGTGTCAAATATTATGACATATGTATCTAATTGGTGTTAATGGATGGATTAGATTTACACATAAAATGATAATACAAATATCATATTGAAATTCATTTAAAGTACAAGGGTTACATATAACATTAACTTTTAAATTTAAAAACAAACATTTTCGTTTCTTAAAAATTCAAAAAAGAAAATGAAAGAAAATAAAAAGAAGTGAAAAAATTTTAACCCATTTCTTTTCCTCTTCGGGATAAGTTAATGGTAATCTCAAATTCAATTTCTCTATTGCATTCCAACCCTCAAAGAAACTGTAATTGTTTGCATCTCCGATTTTCATCTGACTTTCTATTGCTTAAAAATTTTCAAAAACCATAATATTATCAAGGGAGCTAAATCCAAATTCTTAAATCTACGTATGCAAAGCACAAAACAAAACAAATTAAAACAGAAAAACAAAATCTAAATTACAAGTAAGGTATTTGGTATCAACATTAGTTCTATTGCACCAATTTTCGACAATGACGACAAAAACTTGATAGTGCTAATCTACAAATGCACAAAATTGTAATAAAATAATATAGAGTAAATAAAATTCGTTTCTATAAAAATTATAAATGAGAAAGCTAAGTACTAAAATTATATCACCTTAAATTATATTTAGAAAATCGAATTAATGCAAGAATTAAATTAAAATACTAAACTAAGCAAATTAACAAATTAACAAATACAAGAACTAAATTAAACAAACTAACAACCTAAAACTTAAATTTAAGTATGCAATAACAGAAATTAAAACTTGAACTGTAACTCAATTAAATTAAAATAGCAAATTAAAACCTAAATTAACATGCTTGAAATTTAATCAATGCAAGAAATTTACTTACTAATTTATAAGAATTAAACTTATGCAAATTAAACCTTAAATCATGCAAGTAATTAAACCCTAATCTAATAACTTAAAATCAGAACTTCGAATGTTGAATTAAACTTAATCATTTCAAAAGAAGCAAAAACAGAATCTAAATAAACCTAAATTGAACGAATAGAATCAAACTTAAACAATACTCAAAAATTGAAATAAGGATGGAACCTAATTAACTTAAATTGCATAAACAAAAGTAAGAACTTCTCAAATTAACTTTAAACCAAACTTAAAAAAGAATTTATATTGCAAGAACTGGATTTAAAGAGTTTTGAATGAAAATTAAATTAAAACAAAGTTAAAATTGCAAAGGAAACTTAAATTAAAGTGCAAGAATAAAACTTAAATTTAAAAAAAACTTTAAAGAATTTTTGAAAATTAAAGAACAAGTATAAAGCAATGGATTGGTTTGTCACCCTAGCCCTTAATAATTAACTCAAAAAACTTTTAAAAAAAAAAACTTGAAAAGAACAATAAAGAAAATTTTAAAAGCTATAGGTTGGTCTGTCACCCTAAGCATATTCTTTCTTAATTATTAGAGCTAGCTATTTATAAAAAAAAAAAAAAAAAAAAGATTAAAAGAACCTTAAACTAGGTGCGGCAGACTTAAACTTGTAATCTTGAAGACTTCTTAATTTGATTTGAGTGAACTTCTTGAGTAGAATAGCATTCTTAATTATGTCGTAACAGTTTTGAAGCCATTTGACAAATTTGAAAACAACAAAAAAAAGTAGTTGCCTATACCAAGCTTAAAAATCTCAAAGGGCAAAAAGATAAAACCTTTCTTTTTCTAGGGTATATCCATATGCAAACCTTAAAATGCCATCTATGGCTCCTCAAGGATCTTTTCAAACTTATACTGATCCTACCTTCTGTGAGAAAGCATCTGATCCTATTCATGTTCCTAATCTAGATGATCTAAAAGAACAGAAAAAATTGAAGATAAGCATTTTTAAGGTAATGGAGGATTCTTCCACTCAAAAGATGAATCTACTAGGAGAAAGACTCTGTATTATTAAAAGAATGGACTTCTATGGATCCATGCAAGCATCTGAATTGTGTCTGGTACCTAACATGGTCATTTCGCCTAAGTTCAAGGTCTTAAAGTTTAAGAAGTATGATGGAACTAAATATCTTCTGACTCATATCATGATGTATTACCAAAGATAGCTACTCATACAAAAGATGATAAACTATTAATCCATGTTTTCCAATATAGTTTCATAGGTTTTGTAGCTACAGGTAAGTATAGTTGGATAAGACCCCCAACACATCATGAAAATAACTAGCAATGACATTCATCACTTAATACAAACATATTATAGATTTAGGTCTTATTCATCTTTATTTACAAAGCATGGAAAAAAAAGCTACTAAAAGTTTCAAAGAGCTATAAAAAGGTAGAGAGACATGGCTATTCAAGTTCAACCACTTTTTATTGACAAAAAGACCACTATGCTATTCGTCATTACTTTAAAAGCCCCATATTACGAAAGAATGATTGGGAATGCTATCAAAATTTTGTTAACATAGTAATCTCTAAGGAGATAATAAATAACACCATTAAACATGGCAAACGTGAAAGAGGTGATGCTTCTAATGCAAAGAAAAATGATGGGGTATAAAAATAGAAAGAAGGAGATGCCTACGTTATGATTTATGAGGGGCAATAACCTGGATGTTTTACCTCATACTATCTTTATCCTTATCTTATCTACCCTCCTTACCATCTAATTGTGAATAACATTTACCAAAATCCTTGCACTTATCAGCCTATTGTACAACCATGTGTGCAAATAAACTTTCAAGCATCTGTACCTAATCATACACCTATAATTTAACCAATTTCTCAACCCAAGAGGTTGTTTAGTAGCAAAATAAGGAAAACTCTCATTAACCTAATTCTTATGACATACACTGAGTTACTCTCTTAACTCATTAAGAACCACTTGGTTACACCAATTTATTTGGAATCTTTAAAGCCTCTTTATCCGAAAATGGTATAATGCCAATGTTACTTGTGATTATCATCTTGGGATAGGGCATTCCATAAAAAATTATATAACATTGAAGTATAAGGTGCAAAGTTTAGTTAATGATGGTTTGATAAATTTTCATGATAAGGAATGGCCAAGTGTTGTTGAGAATCCTTTGCCTAACCATACAAGAGCATAATATTCAAAAAGGCTTTAAAAATTTTTAAGAAGTAATACAATTCTTTACATGTCATGAACATTAGGAAGATCTTTATGTATTGGTCATTTATTTATCTTTCATTTTCAATAAATTGGCAATTGCATTTCATTATATTTTTTGTTTTTTAATCTTTGCTTTTACATGCCATTCCAAACGCCACCCATTCTCAAATTCTAAATAATGAATGATAAGACAATCATGACAATAATTCAGGATTCAATTTTGAAAATCTCATTCACATTGATGACATTGATGACTAAAATCCTATTATGTTAAGATTTTTCTGAAAGTCAAAGAAAGATGAATTTATATAAAGAGAGTAAACTGATAAATTATCCACAAGTTCTTTCTTACTCAATAAATGTTTTTCAATGAGAGCATTCGTGTTTATGATGAGAAATGACCATTTTTCTTTTACCTTTCGTAAAACTAAAATTTGTCCATTTGCAACCCCTTTAACCCTATTATGATTTTTTTTCTAAAAAACACTAACCAATGATAACTCTTTAGGTTGTGTGGCAAATTTTAGGAAAGATTTGTTTACAAAAAAGAAAGAAAAAGAAAAAATCATAAAAGATTCGAAGGATAAAGATTGGAAAAGCTCATTTAATAATAATAAAAAAAGGTGAATAGCACAAGTGATTTAAAGGAAAAAATAGAAAAAACTCTTTATGAGTAAATTCTTCTTGAAAAGAAAATAATAAAATAAAAAGATATAAAGAAATAAAAAGATGAAAAAAAAAAAGAAAATGTAAAGAAATGATGAAGAATGGGGCAAAATGTCGAGGTACTGTAAAAGATAAAATGATCATTTGGTCTATAACCCTTCAAACACATGTTTTAAGCCTATATTATCCTTTTTTCTATAACCATTCACCTTAGCCTACATTACGTGCCTTATAAGTGCATTTGATCAAATATGAATGCTCGAATTAACGAGTTAGATATTGAACTAAGGAAGAGATTGTGATAAGATAATGAGATCATGATTTGTTCTAATATTTTGGGATTGGTCTGAAATTAAATAGGGATATCAATAATGAAAGAAGTGAAAAAGAAAGGAAAGGAAAAAATGAGAAAAATGTGAAAAAAATAAAGAAAAAAGAAAAATAAAATAAAATAATGGAAAGTGAAATGGTGGATTCAAATTGAAAACC